CGCGGGATGGGCTCAGGCTGCTCGCAGATTTCCTGTAACTCAGAACAAGCTGCTGCAAAGTAAAATCTGATCCTTACCTCGGCTTGCTCGGGCCCCTGTGCCGCAGAGGAGGTGGGCGGGCTGGCACGATGATTACAGGTGACTGTGGAGACAGTCCGATGCGCTCAGGTTTTGGCTCTGTGTGTGTCTGAGCGCTCGCGTGGCCACGTGGGCGAGCTTCAGCTGCTCAGCCTCTGCAGTTGAGATTTTTTGTTGGGCTGGTTTTTTTTTTTTTTTTTTTCTAAATAGGAAGTGAGATTTTTGTTAGTGATATTTTTACATGATTATCCAAAAGCCCCTTGGAATTTATGCTTTGCTGCTACCTATGGAACTTCACGAATTTTTCTACAAAAATTTAAGTATTTAAAAAATTCTTTGAAAGAGACTGAAGGCATAAACTTCAATCAGAATAAAGTCTTACATATGGCTTTGTATCCACGTTCTGTTTGAAAACATGGTTTTAAAACGGGTTTTTAAGGAAACCAGCGCCAGCCTTGTCGGTTCTGGCTCCCTGTAAACTTGGGGCAGCTACTGGTTCCGCGGCTTGTCAACAGCTCCTGAGGACGAGGCCGCGTTCCCTGTGCCGAATGGAGGAGACGCATGTCCCCGCGTCTTCAGGCGGGGGCTGCCCGGCTGGATCGGGACACACAAGTAGGAGGACTCCTTCCTGCTACAGCCAGGTGCCTGCACACACGCCAGAGGGGCCCTGCCCGTCAGTGTCGGGTAGTTACTCTGTTTGGGTTGGCTCTCACACCCTCCACATCGTGTGGCTCTCAAAATGAAATTTCTTCGGAGGCCAAATGACTAGAAAGAAAGCGCTCAGAGCAGGAAAGGTGCTGTGTGTGGTGTCTAACCTGGTCTGCACCCCACTGAGCACTGGGCCCTGCAGAGGTTGCCGGCGGCCGGCCGAGGTGGCTCAGAGCAGGCCCCCAGGTTGAGGGGTCTGCACCCCAGTCTCAGAGGAGTCAGTGGGGAAACTGAGGCTGTTTAGCCGTGGCAGGGACAAGCACCTCAGTCTTGTGTGCTTGGAAGCTGTCTGCAGGGAAGAGGACAGGTGGTCTCCAGAGAATAATGGGGAGAGGAAGTTGCCAGAGGCAGATTGCAAATCAGATACCCACATGGTTCTCAGAAGTAGGGTGGTGAAAGACTTAAGCTGTCACTTGATTAGATGCTTGCCGAAGTGAGATGGCTGAGGGGGCCTGTGTGCAGAGAGTGGCATTTGTAGTTCAGTGGCCTCAGAGGCCCTCCCTTGGCCCTCAGGTTCCTGTCAGAATGGCCCGTGGTTTCTGCGGGTCGGGATACTGCTCCATTTAGGAGCCCACTCACTTCTATAATGCTGGGGTTCTTGTCAGACAGAAGAGCAGCAACTCACCTAGTTCTTTGGACCTCACCTGCCTCTCTGAAATTGCTGAGCTGAGTAATTACCAAGATCTTTCCGAGGACAAAATGCTGTGAGAGGGAATACAGAGATTTGATGAGTTGGTGGTTGAATTTGATAGACTATTCTAAAACTCATTCGCCTAACCTTGGATTGATGAAGATATCTCCGCCGACAAGTTTTCAGCTTGTTTAAAGACCACCCTGCGGGGTTCCGTTCTTCACTTTGAAATAATAGTTATTACGGAGGTCATGGCTGTTCAGTGAGTGCAGCCTGGTCAAGTAAGTGTTCTAACAAACCAGCCCTAGGCAGGAATTGTTCTGTGAGGTGCCGATGATGCTGAAGTGACGTCACGGCTCTGTGACCTGAGCCAATAGTGCCTCTCACTAGTCCTGCCAGTTGCAATCATGAATGTGTAGTTGACACTCAGTAAACATCAGTGAGGTTGGTTGAGGGAATGAACAGATTTCTTTATTAGCCAGTTTTCCTCTTTTCCCTACTTGGGCCTCAATGCCAAAGCCGGATTAGGGCCTCCAGTAATGAGCTGTTCACAGTCGGAACGGGGCCAAACTGAGCTACTGTTGACAATCTAAAGAACAGAGGTTGTGATAAAATAAGAAAAAGAAAAAAAAAATTGTCAATGACTAATAACGTGATATTATTTGGTGAAGTCTGTGTGTATAGAAATAACAATGGAAAATTTCTACAAAACAACCTCCACAACTAGTGACTGAAATGGTTGCCTTTGTGTTATGGGTCTGTGTAGTCTGGTGTTTAGTCATCAGTTAAAAACTGCACAATGGGGCCCTCCCTGGTGGCGCAGCAGACCTCTCCTGGCCCGTGCTGCACTGCGTAGCTGAGCCAAGCTGTGGCCGCTCCAGTGCCAGTTTGATCCCCGCCCCGGAGGTGACCCACGTGGCACGGCAGACCCACGTGGCGCAGCAGACCTCTCCTGGCCCGCCCGCTGCTCCCCTCAGCAGTGGACTCCGTCAGTCGGCCTGTTCTGCTCCCCGCTCTGTCTCTGGGGAATCCTCTCACCGCAGCACTGTGACATTATCACAGCAGGAGTTCGATCCCCGGCCAGGGAGGTGACCTGCAGGGTGTGGCAGACCTCTCCTGTCTCCCCGCTGCTCTCTGAGCAGTGGATTTCAGTTGATCTATTCTCTGGTGAATCCTCTCACTCTCTGCACCTCTGGCCTATACCCCAGTTCATATAAATAAAGAAATCTTTTTTAAAAAAATCATTAAAAACGAGGGGAGGGACTTTTTCAATAAAAGGCAAATTCTGCTGTTTGGTTTTACCATTTTAAAGGGAAATTCATTCGCGCAGCTGATATTTATTGAGCAGCCGCTATGTGTCAGGCACAGTTCTAGACAGCGGGATAAAGTGGGAAAAGCCCCACAGAAATCCCCACTCTCACAGGGTTTCCATTCTGGTCTGGGAGATGCGATAAGCTAAGTGCACAGTAGATGAGAGGTGATAGGGGCTCTGGGGAGAGGAAACAGGGAGTGCACCCCGGGCCAAGCCGGGGGGCGGCAGGGAGGACCTCTCTGTTGCATGAGGCGGCCTGACGCAGAGACTGTCTGGCGGAAGGCGGCCAGGAGAGGGCAGGAGCGGCGGGGCACCCCTGGGCACCGCCCAGTGGGCAGACATGTGCAGGGCGGGTTTGGGGTTACACAGGGCCTCGCAGGTCCCAGGGGTGACTGAAGAGTCACTGGAGGCACATAAGCCCAGCAGTGACAAGCGTGTGCAGTTGAATGAGAAGAGCAAGCCGCTGTCTCGTCACGTTGCCTGGCTGTGCACAGTACTCAGAAAGCAAGAAAGTCATTAATTCAGCTGTCTGATTGTGCATAATACGGACCGATCTAGGGCTCTGGGGGCTGCAGCGCCGAATCACCATGTAGTGGGAGCTCTCCCAGTCGCCCAGACAGTGACGGTGTGGCCCGGGACAGAGGGCACACAGGTCTATGCCGTCGCCCTGCACTCAGCGCGCTCCTTGCTGTGCCAGCAGGGTGGCAGGTGTTCTGGGAACGAACCAAGAGGTCGCCCTTGGCTTCCCTGCCTGGGCCGGGTGCGGGGTGCGCCCAGCCTGGGCCGTGGGGGCCCCGATGTGTGGCGCCTTTGCAGGCCGTCCACATCCCTCACACACCCCCATCCTCTCTCCAGGGGGCCCCGGCCTGCACACAGGTGGTCCCTGGGGCTTGCGCCCTGGGGAGTCTGTGCCGCTGCCCCGATCAGCACAGTGGCCGGGTGTGCACTCACTTGCATGAACAGGAGGATACAGGGGATGAGTTTGCAGTAACAGTCTTTAAAAAACGGGAAAATCCACACAAGGCTGACAGGGCCTCGTGTTTTCAGAAAACGACAGGGCATTTCTTAATGGAAGTAGAGGCTCTTATGTCACAGAAAGCGTGCTTGGTACTGATGCCACTCACCCCAAAAAAGGGAACGTGACGGAGAGGGGAGCGCTAAGCCAGGCGGGCGCAGGTGTGTGCCCACGCCTCCCGCCCCTGGTGCCGCCTGCCCGCCCCGTGGCGGGAGCTGCTGAGTGAGGCACTGCTCTGCCGAGGGGCGGTGGACCCCGGAGCCTGGGCCTTTCACTGAACACTGGGGCCAGGCGGCTTTGAAGGGGAAGAAGCGGCCACCTGCACCCAGGAGGAGCAGAGCAGAGCTGGGAGGGCGAGCGGGAGCCTGAGCAGAGGACGGGGAAGGCGGGAGGGTGCCATGGCGCTACCCGGGTGTCCGGGCCTGCCGTGCCTCACAGCACCTTCGGGGGTTAGGTTTCCGGGGAGCAGGGCCAGGTGTGGGAAACTCGGCCGACGAGAAAGAATTGCAGGCTCTGGGACCCGTGGCAGCTGTGCAAAGGGGGGTTCAACTGGTATGACCCTCTCAGGACTGTGTTTCATGAAGAGTGTAAATAGTTAACAGTGATGAGAGGGACTGGAGAGGAACAGGGCGTCCAGTGGACAGGCACCGGTGGCTGTCCACATCCAGGTGAAGCCGTCGGATGGCCGGTGGCCGAGCTGGGGCTCGTGGCAGGGGGACTCTCTGGTCGTCTTAGTCAGCACCCTAGAAGGGCCTGGGTCCTGCAGGAGCAGACGGTTGTGGGATGCTGGAGAGGGGAGGCGGTGTGCGCAGCTGTCAGGAACCGAGCCTGAAACAGCCCAAAGGGGGAAGGCATTTGAGGAAGGGAAAGCAGGGTGGGGAGCCTTGCCGAGTGCGGCAGGCCGGCCTCGGACTCCATCCACAGGGCGGTCTCAGGACGCCGGCGGAGGCAGCTGTCGCCTCTGCGGTCTCGTCCCTGCGACGCGAAGATGCTCATGGGAGAAACCAGCAGCAGCGGTGTCCCGTCACGGTGCCCGGCGTGATCGTGCGCAGGGCGCTGCTTCTCAGCCGTAGGCCAGCACGTTCGCGAAACGCCACACATGCGTAGATGTGACTCAGGGGTGAGGGGTAGAGACCCACCTTGGATGTAAGGCCATGTGCTTTCAGACAGGGAAAATTTTAAGCAGCGCTCCCCAAAGTTCACATAGCCGTTGGTGCCGTGACTCACCATGCGCCTGTGATCTGTTTGTTCCACAGCCTGGCTCCCGTGTTTGCTCTCTTTGTCCCGTTCTACCGCTCCATTCCGCGAGTCCAGGTGGCACAGATTCTGGGCCCCGTGTCCATCACAAACAAGACGCTGATTTATATATTGGGGCTGCAGGTACAGTATGCATTTTTATCGTTCACCTTTCTTTAACCAGGTCTGTGGGGTTTTTGGTTGGGGTGGGGGGGGTTGTCTTTTTGTCATTTGATCTCCTTGCAAACAATGTATTTTTCCCATGAGTTTGGCTTCGTGATCTCTATCAAATGTTCAAAGGAAGTGTTACCGAGCACACGCATCGGGGTACATGTGCTACTAGAATATGCTCGTGGCCTTCAGAAATCTGATAAGGGTGTTCACTGTAATTTGTATCAGTGGAAAATATTTTAATTTCCTCAGGCAATTGCGTGTACTGCTTTGTAAAACTCACAGTATGGAGTGGAAACAAAGGAGGATAGTCAAAAGGTGGAAAGTGGAAAATCGCTGTGGAAATTAACTTATAGAGAACACAGCTTCCCAAGAGTGAAGCCCTGCAGAAGACAGCAGGTACACCTCAGCGCCTGAGCCTGGCGACCGCTGGTACCGCCGGCAGCTCCACAGCGCGCGGCCGGCACATCCACGCTTGCTAAGGGGCTGGACGTGACGACCAGGAGAGTGTTTGCCGCCTGACTGACATGACAGGAGAGCGTCTTCCCCAATGCCCAGTGACCACCGGTCTCTCTCTGCTGGGCTCCCAGCGGGGGGCGGGCGGCCCGCTTGCTGTTGAGTTTTCTGTTTGTCACACTTGTCACTTTCCTCTCACTCTCACGCCTTTTGATGTCACCTTTGAGTCACCTGTTGCCTGTGCGACCACATTAGCTCGACCTCTGGATCCACCCTTCAGGCTCAGGACATTCCTTATCCCACACGCATCACACCGGATACTCGGATACCGGTCGCTATCAGATGCGCTCCCCTGCCCCCACCCCCCCCCCCCACCACCTTTTCAACCTTTAGCATTTCCTCCAACTTCTCTAGTCTGCTGCTGGGTGTTATCACTGGCTTATCTGAGGTGGGTGTTTCCTTATCGCTTGTACAACCGTTTCTCGTGAAGTTGTCCTTGCCTCAACCTACAGGCCAGTACACCCTCCCCTCTCCTCCCTCATAGTCACATGGGCTCATCGTTTCTTTCTGCCCTTTATTCTCATTGCTAGGATTTGCTGTGGCATGTTCAGTATTTTTTTTTTATTAATAAATCCAATATTTTCAAAAGATGTTAACAACCCAAAGCAGAACAAATTGGACGTGGGCCAGGAGACCCAAGCTCCCGCTCTGCCCTGGCGCTCGCTAGCTGAGACGCGGCCACGCCACAGACGCCCTCGGACCCTGCCGCATGCCGCAGCTCCTTCCAGCTCCCCATAATGAGCATCTTAGTGCACAAAACATTGTTCAGTTTATTATGGCGTCTTTGGAGCCAAGGGGACGCTGGCTACTCGCCCTGGCAGTCATTTGCTTTGTCTGTCCTCTGAGGCTTCTGATACCTCTCTGATCCGCTCAGAGGGGGAAGAAAGGATCAGAGATAATATGTTGAGTGTGTTGAGCGTTCAGTGTAATCCGAGCAGATAAAAGCCAAGTCAGTTGGTTGCTATTACTAATTCATCATTTACGTCTCTACCACAATTGGCTTTTCTGAGATTGTGTGTGTGTTAGAAGTGGATACCAGACAGTAGCGATGGCATGCCTCAGTGACTTTCTGATAAAATCTGAAGTTTGCAGATGACTGGTGTCAGGGCTGCCGATCCAGCGTCAGCCCCGCCCGCGGCAGCCCCCGAGCTCCCGTGTGCCTCGTCCTGCCCTCCTGCCTGGCCTTCACGCACAACTCTGTGCCTGTCTGCTCTCCCCACAACAGCTGTCGAAGTCAGGAACGTTGGAGGCGTGAGTGATGAATGAGTGGCTTCAGCTGTCGCCACCCGAGCAAAAATGTCCGCGCAGGATCACTTGAGTACAAACGGCGTGAGCGCCATGCCCTGTGAGGGCTGCGGAGGGTGAAAGATGTGTGAGGCGCAGTGCCTCCCTCGCGGAGCCCGGCGGGAGCAGACGCACACGGAGCACACAGCCGCAGCCGCCTTCCCCGGCGGGGTTAAACGACACGCTCCTCTCACCTGCGTGGGAGACGCAGCAGCCTTCGGCCCGCCGTAAGCGCGGGCCAGACGCGCCACTCGGGTTTGCCGCCCAGCCACCACCTCCCAGCTCCGTGACCTCCAGCAGAAAACATCACCGCTCAGTTAAACACTGGGACTCGCCTCATGGAGTGATTCAGAGGCTTCAGTGAGCCTACAGTGTGGCCAGCACTGAGACACAGCACATGCGAGTGTCGGCCATGTTATCCATTACAGTTTAGAAGGAAACGGCCCCCAAGTATTTTCCCACATAATTCTCACCCTTGTGATCATCATTCATTTACACTAAACAAGAACACCTGCTGGGTCAAAGGGTAAAGGGGTTACATTTAAAGTCATGGCCAGAGCCCTCCCTGGTGGCACAGCGGGTCAGAGCGCCGCCACCCCTGCAGCACAAGTTCGATCCCCGGCCAGGGAGCGACCCAGAGGGCGCAGCAGACTTCTTCTGTCTCCCGCTGCTCCCCTCAGCAGTGTCTTTCAGTACTTCTGCCTGTTCTGCTCCCCACTCTGTCTCTGATGACTCCTCTCACCCCTCTGCACCTCTGACCCGTATCCCCCAGTTCCTGTCTACATAAATAAATACATCTTTAAAAAAATAAAAATAAAGTCAGAGCCAGCATCAGAGCAAGGCGTGTCGGCCCTTTCCCCAGAGCTATGTCATCTCTTCCCTCTGGTGTCTGTCTTTGATGAACCTGTAGAGCTCTGAGGTTTCACCTGCCACCGTGTCAGAAATGCATCTGGGGCACGGGGCACCAGCTGCTGAGCATAAACAGCCCCCCGCCAGCAACAACCTCCGGGGAGGGTTGGGTGGGGTGGGGAGGCCGCTTGGCGGCACGCTGCCTCCCTGGTAGGAACGTGAGGAGGAGGCCCAGGACAGCCCCCGATGCAGATAGTCTGGAAAACAGCTCTCCTGAGCCCCAACCCTGAGACGTCATGAGCTCGCGCCCCGGGCGGGCACGCCAGGGGGCTGGCGGCCCACCCAAGCAGCGCAGGCCCTGGGCCGCATGGCCGAGGCCCCCAGGAGCTGAGTGACCGCGAGCAGAAGGCAGAATGACAGAGCCATGTGCTTTTCGCCACTTGGCCACGCACGGAGTGGGACTACATCTTTTGTATGTTGTTGATTTCTAAGAATTTTTCACATGCGGCATTTCATGCAGTTTAAATCAGTGAATTCTTTTTATAAATAAAACGAAGCTTGAATTTCTCTTGCTCGTCTTTGCACAGGGGAGGGCCAGGTGGAGAACTTGGTTGTAAGAGAAAAAAAGGAAAATTAATATATTGTTTTCTCTTCAATAACAGCATTGGTGTATATTGATTTTGTTTAATATATGTAATATGCGGCATTAATGACTATGCATATAGTTCTACGGTATAAAATAAGTACACTATGATGAGCAGTTGAATTTCATTTTTAGTTGCCTTTTTTTTTTTTTTTCTTTTATAGCTTTTCACCTCTGGTTCCTACATCTGGATTGTAGCCATAAGTGGACTTGTAAGTGTGACTTCTTCCCCCTCACCTCACCCCTTCTGAAGAGATTTTAAGAAAAACGCGCAGATGATGGGACATGTTTAGTTGTTTCCAACATTCTAACCACATCTGTCTCGGGCTCAGCTCTACTTCCCTAGTGATGGAAAAGGACCAGTTCCGTGGACAGAGGGCATGCAAGTGCCTAGTTTCTCTCAGTTTTCAGCAGAATTTTGGTGAAATTTTTAGCCATGTCTTCTGCCAGTGTTGCTGTTTTAAGTGACATTAGTAGTTGAATTCAGAGGAGGAAAAAATTGAAAGAATAAGAAAATGAAGAAGTTGGGTTTACTAAAAATAATGAGGCTGTTCTGCTTGTTTTGTGAAGCGACGCTGTCATGCAAGGGAAATAATAAGGCGAAGTGGAAAGTCAGGTGGGGTGGAACTGACTGAAGACTCATGGGGTCTGTGGCCAAAGAAGGAAGAAGGGAAGGAGGCCAAGGATGTGGCCAGCCCCCACCCCATGCCACCATGTCCCCACTCACCCGCCCTGCCATTCAGTGGTTTATTGATAAGCACCTGTCTGCTTAGGTATTTTAAAATGAAAGGTGGAACATGAAATTGAGCTTTATTTTCCACCAGTGACTTCAACTTGAACTCCCAAATTTACGTAAAAATAAATACGTTTATAGCTTGTGTCTGTGGGATGCAGCTTTAATTTCTGTGTTGGACAAAACTAAGAAAACTGCAGCATGGATTCGTACTAACGTGTGTAGCACCAGAGAGCTACCTCTGCATTCCAAGGTTTGCCACAGTGTTTTCCAGGTAAATGGTGTTGGGGTGCGGGCATTTGTCTTCCTCTTGGCCTGCTCCTTTCTCTGCTTCCTTGAGGCTCCCATGTGCCTTCTCTGGGTTCATTCTTTTCCAAGACGACTTAGTCCTTCATTCCCCACCAGCGTGCTTCTGGCCAAAATTCTGGGGACGGCAGTCACTGGGTTTCACCTCCCTCCGTGTTTTCTCATGTCCCCAGACAGCTCATTTGCTTTTGAACCACAGTGCTGAGAGGCACTGCGAGCTCTCCAAGCCACCTGAGCACCTGGCGGGCCCCAGCTGGACACGAAGGGGGCCCAGCCGTTCCCAGGCCTAATGTCGTCCCCGCGACCCGGCGTGACAGGCAGCTGGTGAGCAGCCTGTGGACACGCGGACGCCGTGGGCCTGGCGTGGCGGCCACGGCCTGAGCCTCGGCTGCGTCTCAGCAGGCAGCTGGTGTCTCGCAGCAGTGACGTCCTGAGTCCTTTTTCGGATACTTTCCTAGAGCTTCATGACTCCGAGAGGTGCCTTTGCCTCTGCCGTGCCCCTGTGAGAGTCTTCTGTGGGTCGGTTGCTCGCAGCCCCCTCGCCTTCTTGGAACTTACTTCGAGACTCGCTTGTTTTAAGAACCAATCTTCTTTATTCTGTCTTCAGACCCCTGGTTTTAAATTAAGTGCTTGCGGGCTCCTCAGAGTTTCATTCAGTGGTCTAGAGTGGAGGTTGCGCTTTTCATCTCTTTGTGTCTCTGTAGATCTGAAATCTACATGCTGGAATCACAGTCTTGTCAACGCACATGCTTAGCAGGTCATGCTTGCCGTAACTTTCTTGAAGGAATCAGAAGCTTGACAGATTTTTTAACATAAAACCCCTTGTTTCAGAAGAATGAATAGAATCGCACAATACTCGGAATGCGGTTCCCCGATCAAGTGGCGCTTATTTAATCTCACTGTTAGTAAACACCTCTGAGCCATGGCATTCTCCCCGCTTACAGTAACTAGCCGGTGTTGCTGGCCTCCTGCCATGAACGCGCGTCTGATGAATCTCCGGGGCAGCCCTCCCTTGTATTGCCCCACCGTGACGAGACGGCGCTTCCGTAGGTGAAGCCCAGTGGAGTCGCCCAGCGTGTCTTCACGCGCTGCTACAGGTGCTCGTCTGGACCTGAGTCAGTGTTCTATTTCTGCCTTTTCCAGCAGTCACAGCTCCGTTATGGCCTGTTCCGTGTGAGGTTGTCTCTCCCGCTGAGGATAATGGTGGAGGAGACACTAACGTGAGGCAAGTGCGCGACTCACACACCACCCTTCAGAGGGGCAGGGTGCGAGTCGCAGGGTTGTCCCAGATGGCTCTTGTTCCACAGGACTTCTGTCCCCTGTGTCTCGGGTGACTTCCCTTTTGTAAAATACTAAACAAAACACTAAAAAGAAGTAAAATGTTCTATACAGGAAAAAAAAAATGCACTGATTATATTTAGTGTTTGGGGGGTGGGGGGGTTTTAGAAAACCTGTCAGTGAATTTTTTTTTTTTTTAATTGAAATCAGTGTTTCACCTGACAGTGTTAGGAGAGTATTTTTTTGTTTGTTTGTTTCAAGCTGGCGGGTATATATGTTTTTTTAAAGAAAGAATTTTTTTTCTCTTTAAAGGAGGCATTTGTGTAAATCATAAGTCATATGCTGTCTCTAGTCAGAGAAACCAGAAACTTTAGTCATACCTCTCTGGAAGACCTCCAGATTTGGGTTTAGCCTGTTTGTTGTTAGTGGGATGGTTTGGATGAAACTAGTTTTCCTCTCCTGTGTTAGTCATTCTTCATAGCTCTAAATGGTCTTGAAAATGTAAGTTTAACCCAATGATTTTATTTCTTTATGCATTTTATGCACTCATTCCTTCCCGCCGACTTTACAAGGATGTTAATAAATATATTTATCAGTACAGTGTCTTACTGGGTGGGACCCATATTCAGCTTTCAGTGAGCAAAAAGAAAAGAAAGAAAACTAGAGTTTTTTTTCGGGGTTGGGAATGTTTTTAGCTTGGTAGGACCAGTCAGAAGTTGGTTTCCCTTGGACCACATCACGCTTCAGCGTTGCTTTGCAACCTCCCAGACCCAGCTGCCCAAGAAGGGAGGCCTTTCTTATGCTGAAAGGTTCAGTTTGAGATTATTCACGTGTCACTGTTCAGCATTTGCACGTTGCCTGGTTCCTCCTTGGGCAGGCTGATTTTTAATGTCATCCTTTAAAGTAGGACTGATTTCATGAAGGGTAGGTAATAAGGTGATTTGAAAACCTGGCCATCGCCAAGTGAAGTGGCTCCGTCTACACAAGAACCACAAAACATTAGCACACACCTGCCTCCAGCACACTCTCCCCACCGCGCACGACTGTCCCCAAGCCCGTGCTGGGGCCTGCGCAGGCCACGGTCTGCCCTGCTGCACCCAGCCCTGCCTCTCCGCGCCCCCAGGAAAGCAGCTTCCTCACTGAACTTCAAGTTCTCCTTGCGGTTCTGCAGAGACTCTCTGGGCCATCCATATCCCACAGTTCTCCATCGCTGCTATCTTATGAGTCATCGTACTGAGTCATCGCCACCAGGATGTACCCCAATTCTCAAAACCTGATTTTGGTCTGATTAAAATAGAAAGAGTCTCCTTTTGCCAATTTTCTCTTCGTACAGTTCACTTGTTCATCATCCTCCAGTCTTCCCCTTGAGCTACATGAGAACAATGAGCAGATCCCTGTTCTTCAGACTCCAGGTTTCTCCCCTTCAACTATCCCTTCACATTTTGCCCATTTCCTGGCTTGTCACCTGCTCTCTACAGAGCATCAGATTTTGGTTTTCTTGTGATTAAACAACCTTACTATGGGGGGGGGGGGGACGGCGCGCGGGGAACCTGCCCTACCCCACAGCAAGATTAGAGGCAGAGGTTGACATCAAATCTTTTAGGACTTTCAGTGTGGTCTGGGTGTGTGTGTGTGTTCTGTAGGCAGTGGGTATCTTGAACGCTTTTCAAAGAAAAAACTTTCGCACTTGTACAAGATAAGAAGACGTGTGAGGGTTTGCATGTCCCAGGAAAAGCCAGGGAAAGTGAGCAGTCTGGAAGGACCCAGCTACCTGTGAGCTATAATCTGCCTTCTTCCAACCACAGGTATTTTTTTTTTTAAAGATTTATTTTTTTATTTGTACAGAACTGGGGTACAAGCCAGAGATGCAGAGGGTGAGAGGCTTCACCAGAGACAGAGTGGGGAGCAAAACAGGCAGATCACCGAAGTACACTGCTGAGGAGAGCAGCGGGCGGGTCAGGAGAGGTCTGCCGCGCCATGTGGATCTCCGGGGCAGATGGGGATCGAACTCATGCGGAAGTGGCTTAAACTTTTTAGTGCAGTGCTTTAACCCGCTGCGCCACCAGGCAGGGCCCAGGTTTTTTGTTTTGTTTTTTAAGACAAAAATAAAACGTGGTTTCATAGTATCTATGAGAAAACAGCCCTAGGACAGAAGCACGTGTCAACCAGCTATCCGAGTCACAGCATAGCTTTAAGGAGAGAGGTCATGTCATGAGCAAGCGCGAGCCACTGAGGACATCTAACCTTTCTTTGGAGGAAAATCTGAAGCCCAGCCCGCTCCTGGTGAGCAAGAGTGGTGTTGGGGCCCTGAGCCCTGCCTGCTTGGGGGATCTCAGCTTTCAAGTGTCCGTTTCTCCTGTTCTCTAGTCCTGGGACTGGCCGGGAAGGGTGTGGTGGAGCAGGTGAAATAATCCATACCCAGCCATGCAGTTGAGCCTTTGGGACAGAGATGGGAGATGGGTTTTCTAGCAGTTCTTTGAAAGTGAGGACAGAAGTGAGAAGCCAGGGCCAGAAAGTTGTGGGGTTGGTGGGCGCTGTGAAAGGCCCAAGTACGCGAGTAGAAAGCTCAGGAGAATCCCTGTTGCAAAACACTTTCGCCTTCTAGTAATTAAAGTAGCATTTTCTGTGCTAACCCTGACTTGGTTGCCTGCCCGCCTGTCACACCCTACCCACACCGGTTTACTCGGAGCTTCTCTCTCCCCCACCAGCCTGACCTCAGGTAGCCCGGACCCACGGAGGGAAACTTCCCAACTCCTTGTCCTGGCTGTGGCAGCTCGGTTCAGGCTGACAGTGTCTCTCTAAATGGCGCACGCACAGGGGCAGTGACTGGCAGACTTTGACGCTTAACTCTGCAAAACAATAAATGAAATTATGCCGGTGGCTTGGTGAAACTGG